GGCCTCAGCATGGCCGGAGAAGTGGTGCCTCAGTGTGCGCCCGGGATCCGAACCCAGGCCGCCAGCAGCGGAGCGCGCGCACTTAACCGCTAAGCCACGGGGCAGGCCCAATATAAGTATTTTGAATGTGAGTCATGACAAACTAAGAAAGTCAACCTGCTGCCTTCAATAGCATCCAGCAGTACATTCATTCAGTAAGATGGACAACCCCCAAATGTGGGCTAGCAAAGTCAAGGACAGTATTTACTATCAATCGACAACCAAGGAAATGATGCTTTGTTGGACAAATACTATCGTGCCAATATTTCTTTAAAAATTTGGGGCAGAAGGAGGTATGAATTCTGTTGATGCACAAATGCCACCCATTTACTAGGCATGCAAGTGTGTACTTAAAATGGTGTTTAAGTGTAGTAATGATGGGAAATGTGCAGCCCAAACAAGATAAACCAGAAGGAACAACTTAAAAACTGGATGGAGGTGGAAGGTAATCTTTAGAAGAAATTAGAGCAAGCACTTTGAACATTGTGGGCATTTTTCCATGGCTGCTGGCATCCTGCCAGCTGCATCACCCAAGAAAGATGATTACAAATATACCAAGGCCACAGAGTTATCCTATAAGCTGCCTGCAGTCTCCCAAAGCACCAAGTCTTTCAGCTTCTATATCCAGCCTTCTTTTAAAAAAAACAAAAAAACAAAAACGTTGTTACCTTGCTGTTTTGGCAGGACAGTGAGCCAGGCAGACTGGTTGGCCTGCCCTATATAATTGGAGACCTTACATATATACTCCCCAGCATCCGCCTCAGTCACATTGAACAGAGCCAGCACTTCTGCATTGGAACTATTTATCCCCGAGTGCTGGAACAGACACAGGAGAACAATGTAATGGCCAACCGAGAAGGACTTCGCACTGTCTAGGGTCCCACCACCAACACACCACAAAAAAACAACCTCCATTACATCTAAACAGCAGCATTAAAGGGCTGTGGGTTTAGAAAGAACAAGTCAACTGGTGCACAGTGGAAGTGAGCCGGTGCTCTTGAGAGGGGTGGAAGGGTGTGATCAATACCTAGCAGAATGGATTAGCAGTACCCCAGGATGGTCATCTTTGTCCAGCTCTTTTGATCCTTGGTATTCTCAGCTGGAGAGAACATCTCATTGGTTGAGAGTTCTTGGTTGAGCGACCTATGGTTCTATGGGAAGACTGTTCTTTTTAAGAACATTCTCTGTGAGCAACTAAACGTGGGAGACATGGTGGGCAGTGGGCTAAGAAGTTGTACAGACTTAGCTGCCGTTTGCTATCACCATCCTGAAGAGCAAGACAGATCTAAAAAATAAAGAGGCTGATGCTATTAACACAGGGACTTGCAAGGAACCAAATAAGAAATACAAAGAGAAAGAAAGTTTCCTGTTCAACATTTCACGAGCACAGAAACATTTTCTAAAGTTTATTGTCTAAACCGCGTGTGAATGAATCTCAAAGACTAAGAGATTTCCTTTAAAAGGAAAACCTAAATTGTTTCTAAAAGGTGGCTACTAAAATTTGACCCTAACGTCATATTAAAACAACAGCAGCGTAACAATCAACATTGGCACAATGCCTAGAGTTTACAAAGCTCCTTCCATCTACTCTATCCCGTTCACTCTGCACAACCGCCCTGTGGGGGAGATATCATCATGGTCCCCACTTTCACAGATGTGCAGCTAAGCCTAAACATCTCCTCTAAGATCTCAGAGCTGATAAGTAGCTGAACTATTCTGACTCCAACTTTAGGGGTCCTTTCACAACCCCAAAGTTCCGTTCTGAAATTTTACTAGCAAGCCTAATGATCTGCTAATTCTCCAACACACTCTCTACTAGCCAGTGAAATGGGAGAATCATCTTCTCTCAAATTCAACAGGAAATCAAAAAACCTGTAGCCAAACCCATTAAGGAGATCGCAGTTGTCGGTACCTTCGGATTCAGAAAGTCCTCACCTTTAGAACCTTGAGGTAGGGCAGCCCATCAGGCCCATATTTACTGCCGTTTTTTTCCACATGTTTGATCCACTGGATGTGGGGCTGGGCATCACTGTAAACTTTGCAGACAAACTCCACGTCACCTCCGACCACGGTGGAGGCATTTGCTGGCAGTCCAGCTTGGAGGATGGGCCGGTGTGGCGATCGCTCTGATGGAGAGAAGGAAGAAAGGGGGAGCAGCGATGGGAGGGGGAGAAAGGAATAAATAAGTTGTGTTGTCCAGAAGGCTGTTCGTGAACTCAAGCCAAAAAGGCCTCAAGTCTGCTGGCTGACTCCTTTGAAATAACACCGAGGCCCAATGCATAACAAAAACGACTTCAAAGAAGACTGCTGGAGCACAACCCTTGTAAAAGGGTCTTATTTAGACCCTTATTTAGAAAACCGAGAGAAGAACTTATTTAGAAAACCGAGAAAAGAACTTATCATATCTCAAGTGATTGGTTGTCCATGGCCACCTAATGAACAAAGGAAGAGATTTTATTTTGACAATCTCAAAGACAAACGTCAGGGGAATGGGTGCCCCTTCACTTATTCCATTTGGGATAACACTGGAAACTCACCTTGACCATAGCTTAATGTCACAGGTAAGTGACAAGACTAACTTTAAGGTCACCCTGAATACCAACATGCTCCTCAATGCGGTGTCTCCCAATACACTTCGAAGATGCTCTAAGAAGACTTCCATCCCCTGTTTTAAAAAGAAAATAAACTAAAAGCTAAAGCCCAAAGTTATGAACAGATCAAATGAACAACTAACTGGTTTCATCTCTTTACCGTGGAATTTACTCCATTCATTCTTTGTTCTATTCATCCATTCATTTCCTTCATAAATATTGTGTTGCTGTGTGCCAAATGCTAGATGCACAAGTAGACATTCCTTAGCATATTGAGATGTGGCATCGAAAGAAACAAAGTGACATTGGTTAAGGAGGCCCCATAGAGGGTATGCTAGCAATTACTTCCCACTCTCACTCGTCTCACCTTTCTCTCTAGGGAAAAAGTCCTCAACAAAGACCAGCCCCCCTCTTATCTTACGCCTGGAAACGTTCCTCCCCAGTTTAGAGGTGGTCTCTGCAGAAATCTTGTAGAGTCAACTATGTCAAGGTGCATGAAAAACTACACACAAGGGTCTTCAAGAATCAAGTAACAGACCAGCCTGCTGTATGATTTTGTCCAAAAGGCACTATAATCACAAGCGGACTGGAACCTTCCTACATGGCAGCTCGGTCAAGAGCCACCCATACCCAATCATCTGTCCACTCACAGTTATCACCCCAGCCCCACATACCTGCACGTACCAGTCATCCTCCCGTCTCCCTCCCCACACTGTGGGTACCACGGCCTTTCACCTCCAGCTTAAAAAGTTGCCGAGGGAAACGACAAGATCCCAACCAGCCCAACACATCAAGGATGTCTCCACACTGCACCTGAGTATCCCATGCACTGGGCTGGAAACAGCAAACGAGAATGACAGATATCTAAGCCTTTCTATATCTGGGCCTTTCAGATTAAAATGTCATTTTTTGGGATTTGTTGGACAAGAGCCAGACCATGTGCAAATTGATTTTACTGCATAAGCCTGTCGCTGGTCTTTAAAAAATTTTTTTTAAAAAACGAAGAAAAAGTGCTAGTGGTTACTCTTAGCACATTTCATTCCAGAATCTCCCATCACTTCACAGGCACCTACATTTTCACATTAAAAAGATCAGGATTTCAGAGCCCCAAAGAAGGCTTTCGTTTGTCCCACTATCATCCACATGGGCTGAGCAAAAACCTAAAAGTTGAGACTCCTAGTTTTCGTGGGCAGAAAAATCTCAAAGCTGGGATCCCTTCTAACATCACCAGAAATCCTCACTCTCTGGCTGATACACCATCCCAGCGATGGGCCACAGCGAGCTTCCTGGTCAGGCCTGGCAGCCAGCTGGATACCACAGGGACCTGCGTGCAGCTGGCAGGGATGGAGGTCTGGTTTAACCCCAGCTGGCCCCATCCACGTGAGAACAACAGAGTTAAGTCCATGCACACACTCTCCTCACCAGGCCTCCTCTCAAGAGACTTAACAGCACGAGGAGAGCTGTCCTCTGGGCTGGATACTGCCAGCCAAGCACATAAACTATGCTTCTTTGTACCGATCAAATATTGAGGTGGTTTACTCCTTCCCATAGAGAAGTGAATTTTACGTATCAATTCTTTCTCTGGCTCAGTTTTCCAGTTTTACGCGCATGTGTTTGCACGTTCAATGATAAACATTTACAGTGGACCTAAATATTTATTCTTAGAAACAAAGGTACTATAAAATCTTAAATGTCATAAGCCAGATCAACTGAATTTCAAACCAAGTGCTCTTTCTTAAACATACTTGTTTCTATAAATCGTTTCACAAGCAAACATTGTCCATGTAATACCAAATAGCGATGCCCCGCGAACAATGAGTGCTTTCATACGGCCCAACATCTCTGGCCTGAGCCAGCCTTCAGCAGAGAACTTAGTCACTGGGACAACACTGGCAGGACCCGCTACAGAGCTGCAGTCTTGTTTTACTTGTGGTCAACGTGCTGCTGAGCTCCAGTTATTAAGTTATTCCGTGGCTATCCGGACTACTTTCACACACACACGCAAAAACCTTTGCAATGGTTTCATGTTATTGCATTTGCAAATTACAGCATACCAAACGCTACCCGCCTGCAGTCTTGAATTCATCCTTTCAAATTTTCTCACCTTATACAAAAAAACCTCTTAACCACCCCCTTCCCCCTCGGCCCTTTCTCACTTTGGGTACAAAAACTGCAGGCGAGATCGCTCTGTAATCGAAACCTTACACCGTCTTCCAAAACTTATTACAGCTGCCTTCAGCATAAAATGAAACCTTAGAGAATGTTATTTAAAATGTTTTTAAAAAGTCAGTAGGCCTCATGTTTCGTTTCTCCACATCAGGCTTTGATTTCCTTTTCAACCTTATTCTCTGCCCTTAAACAAGTCAGAGAACGAGGCCTGAAACATCTTGGAAGAGGTCCCGGGATGCCAGCGTCTGCTGCGCATGGCGCTCCCCCCAACATCCGTCAGCCATCACTCTGCCCTTGGTGTCCATCAGACCCCTAAGAACAGCGATCAGTAGTAAGTGGGACAACAGCACCTGGACTCCTGTTCTAACTTCTGAAAAATTGGGGTGAAAGCAGGGTGCAGATGGCAGCCGGCGGAGCAGGCTGGGTGGCACTCCTGCAGAGACGGGCAGAGCTGGTGGCCCCCTGTGGCTGGGCCCAGTGGGCACCTGAGAACCACTGCAGAAGCAGGGCAGTGACGGTGATAATGAAGACCCTCCAATGGCTAATGTGCTCTCCCCAGAACCTCACCAGGCCCTGGGCAAAGTGAACCCCTTGGTTTGCAACTTTTTTTGGCGGAAGGCTAATATAAAAACAATTGGCCAATGAGTTATCTCTGGATGAGAGAATAAAACCCAGAGCTTGGCCCATCTCCTGTTCTCCCATGTGATAACAAAAATTACATCTTGCCACTAGGAAGGATTTAGTTTTAGGCCAGGTTCTCTTAAAGCATGCTTAACTCGCAGATATTATACAAAACAGACTTTCCTCTTTACAGAGGGAGTGAAATAAACAGAGAGAAAACAGAGAAAGTGGCGAGCAGCTCACCTCTGCGTCTTTACCGCAATTTTTAAAAATATATATTCTGAGTTCAGCAGGCTGCAAATGTACAGTACCTGGACCTGAAACAGGATGAGAACCTTTAAAACAGCAATTCTGAGCTCCCTGTGTGAATTCCAAATTAAGACAGAGTGGAAAGCGGTCCAAAGGGTGGGGCAGCAGCCGACGGGACAGTTGGCTGCACTGCTGGAATGAGGTTCCACCAAATAAATGCGTAGTAAACACAGGCTGAAGTGCTCTAAAAAACACATTCTCTCCCGTGTTCTCTCTCTCTCTCTCTCACTCCCTTTCGTCAACTGCTCCAAAGGAGTCCACTTTACTAATGCAGAAGGTCTGGCAGCTAGGAGTCTAAATATCGGGAGAGATTGCCCCAAACCCTGCTCTGAAGCTGGGAGCCACAACCACGAGGGCAGGGGAAAAACAGCCCACTCCATTCCAAGGGGTAATCACTGAGAACCAGAGAGAGAGAGAAAATACCTGAATGACAAAGAATAAATCTCTGTTAATTGACCATTGAAACTTTATAACATGCCAGTCCTCCTCTGGACATAACAATATGTTTGCTCATAAGAGATCTACAACTTTTGCTCCGACACAGCAAAGGCCATATAAAAAGGTCCACCGAGCAGAGAGGCCTCGTGTCTACAGGCTCAGTAAATTGCATCCTGGGATCAGAAGGAGACCAGGTTCTTAAATTACACCTATAAATTAATCAAGCCCAGAATTGCTGGTTTCCCAGCACACACTGGTCTTCTGAGTATTTCTCCCCAAAAGTTAAGCAGCGCTTGCCACAAAGATCCATTTCAAAACCGCCCTCTCCGGCAGCAAAATACCAAGAGACTCAAATCACACTGAGTGCCCGGGACTGATCTGGAAGCAGCCAGTCTCCTGCTCCTGGGCAGCCATCCATGTGAGGAGCATAGAGAACCCGCCTGCCTTGTCTTTAAATTAAAATCAAAATTTAATTACTCTTCCTCTAAAATGGCAGTTTCTTAACAATTCCAAGGGGCTGAATAGGGAAAGAACATTCTGCGATCTGGAGGACAAGGGAAAACAACCGAGAATTTTTTCTAAAGCCCAGCCTAGCTTTTTTTTCTAAAGAGGCGGCGGTGGTTGCTTTTGTTGCATGAAAACGCACTAAACCAGTTAGCATGAGGCATGGTTATTAGGGGAGGCCGATCAAAGCCCTCTGAAGTCTGAGGCAACCAATAACCCGCTAAAGACCTCACGCTAATTACAATTAGTGGAATGAGTTCATTGCCTTGTCAGGACTCCACCTAATGCACTCAAACCAGACAGGCTCAATCCAGTTGGGGTGTGAGGTTAGTTTTCCCTAAGCTTTCTCCAGCCTCCGGAGACTGGCACAAAAGGAGGGCAGAACTAAAAATGACCAGTGGGAAAAGGTAAGGTTGGGATGTAGGCTGAGAAGGAGCACTACCCTTTCAGAAGGAATCAAAGTACCCATCACTGGTATTTTGGCTTGACATCTT